GGTCGAGATACCTTTTGAAGAAGTGCTGCAGATTAAGAAAACAAAGCACGTGTATAAAGGCCTAACAGCAAGGAAATAGCAGAAAGATCAACGAAGTGTACACACGCACCTTCATGATTTTAGGAGGAAAGCTTATAGTTAAGACCCTCTCGAGTAATGCACAAATCACACCCACATCACCAAGTAGTTTTTCCTGTTATATTTAAGAAAAATTGTAAGGCATATGGTATATGTTGTTAAATAGCGTATTACATGTTAAACAGCAAAAAGGAAATTTACTTGAGCAAGATAAACTTTCCACAGCTCACTTCTTTTTGGGTGTTCCCGAAGCATTCCCTCAAACATGGATCGGCCTCTTTCAGGAACCCCATTCTTGAAGTCGATGATAGCTGAATGCAAAATGAACTTAACATGCTTACGGTGGGGAAGGCTTAGAACAGCACGATTTCTAACAAGCTCAACTCGATCTGGGTTATGCTCCACGACACTCTTATACCGCCTCAACCACACCTATAATTTTAAAGAACATATAGCTTGATATCTCCATTTGAACCCAAAAAAGAAAGAAAAGAAAAGAACAAAGAATGGTTATCATACAATACCTTGCGTGAAAGCCTGAACTTCTTGACCATTTTCTCAAGAAGTTCATCAGATAACTTGTGCTGCTTGGTCCTTTCGTACACTCCCAACAGACGCAGATGCAACTTTTTGGGATCACAATACCGCAAAGCTCTTTGAAATACCCTCACAACAGCCTCCTAAAGAGAAGACATAAAAATAATTACACGTAGAAAATATCTAACAAGGAAAAATGAAAAATAAAAAACTACCTCAGGAGGATTTCCATATTCATTCTCTAATTTTAAATAAGAAACCCAAATTTTCAGCTTCCCATCTTCGTCTCGGAAGTTAATTGTTCTCAAAGCCCTTCAAATTAAATAAAAGCAGTAAAATTAGAGCTGTAAATGATGCAGTTCAAAAAGTGAGAGGCAGTTTTTAAAACTGGCTGTTAATAATAATGGTATGTTATATTGTTCAAGCAAAGGTATCTTGATAAATTAATAATAATGGGGTGGACTGTTGTCTGTATATAGAGTAAAGTATTTTGCTTGTATTCCACTGCATCCATGGGGGTTCGGAGGGCATATGAGATGAGAAACTTTAGCAAAATCGTAAAATAAAGTGAAGTATAGCATTGAAAACACCAAATCAACAAATGGGAGACACGGTTGCAGATGAATCCCCCGCCTTTCAGATTGAAGTAATGGCCTCCGACATACATGGGGTGGTATGCCTCAGGTTTCATGAGCCAATTTTAATCCTGGAAGAATCTTGTGAGGCTGGCTTCAAGCCGGAGTGTCAGACCCAGGATGCCCGCCTTCTCAGGCTTGGACCTTGACAGACAACTCCCAGCCGATTATGTTCCTACCATAAATAAGAATTAATATTAAAATGAAATGAATACCTTCCAGCAATTGAGCGGGCCATTTCAACATCACCCAAAGAGACCATAAATTTTTTATGTACCCTTCCCAGTCTTTGCTGCTATTTGGGGATCTTCTAACCAGTTTCTCAAATTCATCAGCAGACCTTGGTGGACCATGCTCAAGTAGTCTTTGTTCAGCAGCACTAGTTTTACTTTCCCTGAGTAGAACGTGTTCAATCTTGTGGTAAAACTGAAGATAACTACTTATAATGAACACGAGTAAATAACAACATTACCTCTCTTTTCTGGCCTTCTTTTTCGCCCAATATCTCTTGTTCTTTTCATCCATGGCGTCTGCATCATCAACATTCTCTATATTTCAACTGCCTACATCTTCCATGTCTGTGTTCATCGCATCACCGAGAGGTACTGCAATTAAGTGGAAGAATGGAGGCCTTGCCTCCACAAATGCTCCCTATTTTCACTCTCACTTTCACAATGGCCACTCAGTTCCCGATGTTGCCAGCCCAGAAAAGCCCTTGGCCATACCCCACATATGTATCGTCCCTCTCTATATTCAATTAAAACGTAACGGTACCCTAACAAAAGGTAGTAAGACGCAACAACTGGCCAAATCTATTGGAGTTATATACTAAATTGGTACAGCAGGGGTGCTATATTCGCAATATTTATAATACAGGGGTGTTTTCTGCATTTAATTCAATTAAAATGATTTGAATATTTATAATATTAAAAGGCCAAGCTGTTTAAATTTGTCAAAATTACAGAATGTTAAAGTAACATTTGTAAAAAAAGGCCAACAGGAAAATTGAATTTAAGTTTCTAGCCAAAAGATTAATTCCTTGTCGCCCTTCAAATTCCCTTCTATATTCAATAAAAACCTTGGCAACATTATATGCATGATTAAAGGGGACAACGTATGTAAAACAAGTGACATTTACCCAAGTCTACGTCAAGCCGAACAGAATCACTGCCTTTCGGAATGGGCTTCATTTTCGAAGTGTCAGGAATAAACCTACAAAAGACCCACTCAAAATTATAAATGATTAATACAGCACAGGAAACAACCACGTCAAAAGAAGTTAATCTTTACAACTGAAGCTTATAAATGTTAGTCAGCAACAGATCACGAGCCAAGTCACGATCTTTTTCAGATCCATAATCAACAGAATGGATGTTGCAGTCATCCATTTGGTTTAGGTCTATGCTCTCATACAAGATTCATATGAACCTCATAACTGCTAGACCATATATAAAGTTACATGTAATCTAGATTTTTTTATTTTTTTAAAAAAGTGCACAATAATTATGACAAATAAAAACTCAAGACTACTTTGAAAAATAACAATCGTGTTACAGAATTTCTGTTTTTGATGATTAATGGAAAAGCTTTGTTTGGTTCAACTTTTTGAAGGAAAAAAAAAAATAAGATTCTCTGAGAACTTAGTAAATAGAAAATTGCTTTCATAGAACAATGAAAGATGATTTTCTGAAAACACGAGACTATCACCATTGGATCACTAGCCAAGTCACAATTTTTTTTTCAGATCCACAATAAACAAAACCGATGACTAAAAGATCCATTTGGTTTAGATTTGCGCTCCCGTACGAGATCGGTTCCGCATAAATGCTAGACTATACATTAGGTTATATTATAATAGTAAATAAAATAAATAAAAATAATTTATTATACTAGAATAGTAAAATTAAAAATGTTATTTTATACCAATTGTCAGTGTCCTAACGGTATTAGGCCCTTATTTCCCAAAGGGGAATCAAGTGTTCAAACTTTCATGGAGGCACATCATGGAAGCATGTGTGTGTGAGTGCTAACTAAGAAAAAAAGAAAAAATAATTATATTCAAATAGTAAAATTTAAAATATTATTTTATTATTTTTCAATTATACTATAATAGTAAATAAAAAAGTAAAAAAAAAAAATTACCAAACATATTTTCGCGTTTCTATTTTCAAAAATTAAACAACAAATGTACCAAACTGTTTTGGTGTTGACAAAAATGATAGCACAACTTTTTAAAACTTGTCATTTGCACATAAATAAAAGCACAACAAAAAATGGAAACCACCACTTTGCCACACGGGCCCTAAATAATTCTTAGCGGATGTGTTAGTGGCTTTTAAATTTTTATCAAACTTGGCTTTATTTGGATACATAGGAAAAAAAAAAAAAAAAAAAAAAAAAAAAAATTATAGTATTAGTTATGAGAGTTAAAAAAAAGAAAAAAATAATAATAATAATTTCTATTTATGTTTGGATAGAAGAAAAAAGACAAGAAAAGAAATATTAGTATTCTTGTTTGGATATAATAGAGGAGAGAAAAAAAGAGAAATGATAACAACCAAATTATTATCATGTCCTTTTAAATAGAAGGGATGTGAGTGAAATAATAATTTTTTCTTTCTAATTGTTGAGGGCGCGCACTTTTGAAATTATGAAAATATTACTTAAACATTATCATTTATCTCCCTATCTTCTCATTTTTTAAGAAAAAGGAAATGAGGGATCCATATCTCTCCCTATCCTTTCTTTTATCTCATTTGAAACCGTCCAAAAACAATTAAGCCTTATTTTTTTTTTTTTTCTACCCCTCTAAATAGTCCCATCCAAAGTATTTGTTGTTAGCACAGGAGGAGAAAGATTACAAAAGAACAAAAGGCACAAGGCCTAACAAAACATCAGGCCCGAAAGCAACAAGCCCAAACTCAAAAAACAGTACCTACGTTGAATAAAAATCCCAAACCCTATAGGAGAATGGGCATTTGAAGAATATATATATATATATGCTCATGCGATTCAGGGTCCCCAAACACAAAGGACAGTTACCTGCATTGTTTGAATTAAGCAGAGAAAAGTTTGTCTTTGGTTTGGAGTCTATAGTATAAAGCAACTAAGCAAGGCATACAATGAAAGGAGTGCGGAGGTATGTGGTTTGAGAACCATATATATGATGCATGTGTTGCCATCTACCCAATGGAGCAGGAGGGAGGAGGGCATCATAAGAGTGCTTAAGGTTGAATTTCCCTGTAGGAGATTAGTCCATGTAATCTTGTCAGCGTAATTGGGAGAGAGGGGATTAAGTCCATGTAAATTTTTTTCCATTTGTAAGTTTAAAGCGTTTCTTATTGTGTCAAGTGCAATTAAAGCATTTCTTATTATGTGATTTGACCTTATTTCATGTTTTGTTAAATTGTGAATCCAAAAAGTTAATAAAACGAATTAGTTTTGGCCAGATCTATAAAAAAAAAAAAAATTAAATTGCACCACATTAATATATTTATGTATCTCTGACAGAGAGAGAAGCGCATTACTTAGTTTTGCTTATTTTTGACATCATTTTGCATAAGATGTTTAAATTCAACCTTTATTTATTGTGTTTAAATTCCCAAAACTTCAAAGAAAGCTATAGCTGTTGAAAGTCCGCATGTCAGTGTCTTAGAATCAACGCCTTCATTGAAAAAGAGAATTTTATGGGGACAACATATATTTTTATAAAAAAAAAATCCTTTGTTTTTCAATTTTATTTTCAAATTATTGAGAGTTAAAAGGATGGATTTCATGGCAACTTGAGATAATATTTCTTTTACCCCAGGAAAAAAAAACAGAAGCTAAAAATAATAAATCTTCGTTCCAGTTGAACCAGTAGAGCTAAATCAGAAACTTCTCCATTCAGGAAAAAAAAAAATCAGAAACTTCTCTGAAAATTGGTCATCTTGTATCGATGGAACCCCCACTTTGAAGGCCATTTTCCAAGGATGAAGACGACGATGACGGCTCTGGTGACCGCCGTTTCAAAGTCACCCTAACAGGCTCCAAGTTATTTGAGCCGGCGAGGTGTGGAAAATTGAGCAAAGCGCGTGAGCCGCGCAATTTGAAAGCAGCTAGGTCATAAGCTTTAGCTGCATCCTCAGGCGTCTCATAAGTCCCAAGCCACACCCTCTTGCCTTTCTTAGCCGGGTCCCTTATCTCCGCCGCGAACTTCCCCCACGGCCGCCGCCTCACCCCCCTAAATCGCCTGCGCTGCTGCGGCGCGTGACCTCCACGCGCCACCACAGGTTCCACCACCACTGGATTCTTGCCTTCCGAATTAATCAAGCTATCTTGAAAATAATCAATACTAAACACCATCTCTCCCATATTTTCCGGCAAAAAGCAACTCAAATTTGGGGAGTAACTGGATGCATTGCAAGAACTACTTATAGTCGGAAAAATTGTAGAAATGTCGGAATCATCAAGAAGATGCTGCCGGATTGATTCGAGAACGGCGAAGTCAGAATCTGTGATAGTTTCTCCAAACATTTTTGCAACGAATATGTATGAATATATATGTATATATCAGAGGGTTTTGTTTTGATGGTTGTTTTATGTATTGGTTTATGGAAAATGGTTTATATATATAGGCATGAGAGAAGCTGAGCTTCATTAACTCCTATGTGAGCATTACTATTACTACTTTTTATTCTGGTTTTCGTACTTCTTACATTGTTTACACGAAATATCCAATTCATCCATGCATGCAAGTTGAATGATTTAAATCACGTGTTATTCCATTTCTTTAACTAATACAGTATTCAAACTAGGACAAATCTCCACGTGTTGATTGAGATTTCCCTTTTTTTTTTTTTTTTTGGCAAGTTGTTCATTGACATTTTAATGTGTACGTCCTGCCTGTGGGTAACAATTAACCATTATTTTTCTAGAGAAATACTTAAGGGCTAGTTTAGTGTGGTGGAATGATTTGGAATGAAATGAGAATGAAGGTGAGAATGGAATGAGTAAGGAATGGAATGGTCATTCATTTTGTTGAAATGTGGAATGATTTTAATGGAATGACTATTTTTCAAAAATAGTGAAGAATGATGATTCTAACTTTAAAATTGGTTCCAACCACAAGAATGGAAAAAAATTCAGTCAATTCCACTTTCTTTTATTTCATTCCTCCACACCAAACTAGCCCTAAGTGAAATCCGGAAGGTCAATCAGGGTCCTTGAATTCGGGGATCTCAATGAAGAATCAACCACATCCAAGGGCTGTGCTTGCAAAGCCGCGATAATCACAAGTGTGCTTAGCACAACTCAATTTTCTAATGTAAAAATATAATATATATATTCGTTGTATCTTAGGATTTTTTTCATGGGAGAAATTAAATTAATTGCGAAGGAAAAATGTGCAGAAATTTTTTAAATGAAAAAAATTGTGAGTGGAACGGGACAGTAGCTTGAGGATTTTAGGGAGGAAACCAATTAGAAAACCTTGTATATGTATAAGTGAAAGCTATTTTTTCCTCCCTAAACCAGTTATAAATTTTATATCTCACAAAAACTAATCATAAGAGAGTAGCTCGATCATGGATAAAAGGAAAAGACAAAGACAAAATGGATGTTGAGTGGAATGAGTTTGCAAATATCACTTGAATATGTATTTGGTTAAACATAGATAGATATACACAGCATGATTTTAACTAACTCAATTCCATGCAAATCGTGACAATATTTAGTAAATTAATTAACTTGTAAAGAACAAAGATTATTGTTGTGGGTCAATAGTGAGAGTGTAAAATTCATTCTTAATTAAGAGTAAACAATGAAATATGATCATATTCTTGGACTCAACTAAAAAACACCAAACACTAATTTCCTAGCACTAGTTAGTTAGTATAAAAGTTCTTATATTTTCACCTTTTTCTGACACTATCAAATGTGCTCCACCACTTATTTACTTGAAATAATAATAATAATAATTATTATTATTATTATTATTCTCAACTACTTTTGTATCACTTACAGTATTATATATATATATATATATATATTGTCTCATACGATAAAACTCGCTTTCATATATTCTCTTTTTTACTCTTTTGGGACTTACAATTTTTCACATTTTTAAAAGTACAGATACCGAAATTTCTCGGACGAGTCACATATAATGCCATTTTAATGTTTGATGATATAAATATTTTATATATATAACATGCACGGTATGCGGTCGTTGTCGTCGTCTGTGCTGATGCTGTTGTTGTTCCCTCCCCATGTGTATCACGGCTTGGATTAAAGAAAGGATGCAGGAGGCCAGGGGTCACAATATATATATATATATATATATATATATATATATGTAGAGAAATCACCCAAAAAGAATCTAATTAATATATATGTTGCAATGGGCTAGTAGTGGTATCACATTTTGGTAATGTGAGTTTCACTCTCCTATAATTGAAATTTATTCTCATGCCAGCTTTAATTGAATTATGTTATGCTTATATTTTAGAAAATTAATAAATTATTAAGTGTTGCTTATATATAGTTTAAAACTTAATTATCACATTTTGGTAATGATGGACACTGCTTGGTTTAGTTGTCAATGCTTGATAATTCATTTATTAGTCGAGAGCTTTTTTAAAAATATATTTTAATTTTAAATGAGTTAAAAAATGACTGATTTTAGTAAAAAAAAAAATTAGAAAACTGTTTCTAAAATAAATTGAACCAAACATGATTTTTTATTTGGTAAAAACCAAACATGATCTCAGTATTCCCTACAAGTGGTGAAAATTGTAACCATTTTTGCGATAAAGAAAAATAAAATAAAATAAATCAAGTCATCAAGTTGAAACATAGGCAACATGCAAGTGTATGCCGAACATATCTTAATTAACCATCTAATCAGAGGGATCAAATAGAGTAATTGAAGTCTCATTATGTAATACCCATCTATTTATACACATTGACGTGGGTCAACTTTCACTTGTAACACATTTGTATTAAGGATGGGTTAACAAAAATAAAGTAGAAAATAATAAAATTACGAATTTATTGAGATTCTCAAATTTCGAAGATATTTATTTTGGTGAGCCGTGCCAATAAGATGAACCAAACGAGTTCTGCATCATGAACTTTCTACCTTGCACATCGCCTAGATGGGTTCTAGAAAATCATGGAGACTATATAGTTATTTTGTAATATTAGTTTAGATTATATTAAATAAGGAGAAAAGTAGCTTAGAGAATTTTTAAATAAGTAAAATAGTAGTTTTGTTAGATAAGAAAAGCAAAAGCTGAGTTTGTAACGGGACCATTAGATATAGTCGTTGAGAAAACAAATTAGAGATAGAGAGAAATCCAATTTCACGATTCATTCTTACATTTTTATTCAATTTTCAATTTCTTTAGTTTCTTAAAATAAAAAACATAAATACATATTAATAAAGTGTAATTATATATTACGTATCAAAATAGAGTGTGTATATATATATATATATATATATATATATATATATTTTAATCCCTCTATTTTAAAAAATATGTCTATTTTAAAGAGTAGAAATTTTCAAGTGGACATGTGATCCATTTTTATTGTCTCCTAATTAAAATAAAAAACATAAATACATATTAATAAAGTGTAATTATATACTACGTATCAAAATAGAGTATATATATATATATATATATATATATATATATTAATCCTTTTATTTTTAAAAAAAATATCTATTTTGGAGAGTATAAATTTTCAAGTGAACATGTGAGTCATTCTTATTGTCTCCTAAAAAATTAATGATTTATCCTTTTAAATTTTGAATATTTAAATTTTAAAAATATATATAAAAATATATAAAATATATATAAAAAAATAAAAATAAGTATATATATATTTTTGGGAGGAGGAGTAGTTATCGTCACGTCAAATCCAAAGTACAATCTTGAATAAAGAACCGCCGACCAAAAAGCGCTGAGTTGAAAACTATGAAGCATTGAGGTATGACCTGCGCACTGTAGAAGCATGAAATGAAACCCTTCGACTTCCCACCGTCTCCACGTGTTCCTAGTGGCGGCCTAAGTAGATGAATGAAGATTGCAAGTGTAGCGCTTTTCTTCTTTTTAGTGTGTGTGTGTGTGTTTTTTTTTTTTCTTTTCTTTTTTTTTTTTTTTTCCTAAAACTTTGAAGGGAAATGTACGCAATGAGCACTTTAGTCGCATTGTGTACTCCGGATTAGATTCACAAATGGACTATATGTTTTCTTTTTTATTTCTATTTTAACATGAATTATTTATTTATTTAAGTGCATGAAATGAGATTGACTTAGAAATATTACAAGTTGAGAGGCTTCACATGGACAACTTTTTAAGTCACATTCTTTTAATAACGCCCGGATCCACTGTTGGGTACCCTCCAGATCCTCTCTTAGAGTAAGTTAATGGTTATTCCTTTATTTTAACTATTTGCAGATCATTTTCGCACATGTCAATTAACAAATAAAAGTTGCTTACTTACTTCAAATACAATAATCCAATTGGGAATATTAAGTAGAAAGCCAATCTGTTTTCACGCACTTGAAATGCCACAAGAAAACTAAATAAAATCATTGAAATAAAGCATATCATAACATTTATTCGACTGTAAATTATTTATTTATTTTATTTTTTTTGAATACGATCTCTTATACATGAATAATAATCCAACGACTCAAATAACATGACATTTGCACTTTAGTGTAATCTTAATTCGCAACGTAACTTTGTTTATTGGTAAACCATGTACCATTTGAAAAGATTTTGAAGAACTGATATACTTTGTATCATATGAAAATTAAATAAAACAAACAGAAGTTGATGTACTTAAATTGATATCAAGTGTATATAAATTGTGACTTTTTTAATCACCACAAAGGAAAAGGTAGTGTGACTTGCGTCCTACAAAAGTATTTCTAAACTTTAAAAAGTATTTTATAAAAGTCAAGGCAATTGGTGAGCAGAGATAATGGACATTCACAGTTAGAAATATAATATTCAAGAAAAGCATAGAACTTGCTTTCAAGATCAACTTTGTCCCAAGTCAAGATAGCGATAAAGTGAATGAAAAATTTTAAGTACAAATTTGACCTTGTTTGGTTAAAATTATTAACAATTTTCAAATTATTAAAAGTCCTGTCATTTGTCAATCTAAATAATTCTTTTACAATTAATATTTGTGATTTGTCAACTCTTTCACATTTCTAGCCTCTTAATTTCTCTCACAACTTACATAAATGTTGTTTTGTAGGAAAAAAAAAGGAAGAATTGTGGAGAAAAAATAAGAAAGAATGGATAAATTTTGGAAAACATAAGGAAATAAAGGAAAATATGAATTATGACCTTTACAAATTTTCATCAAAGAAGAGATGACAAGTGAACTTTTTATATTAAATACTATTCTAAATTATACAAGTTTTAAATTACCGTACTATCCTTTGTAAATTATAATATTATAAATATTATTGGATACGATTGTAAAAAGAATTAAAACTTTCTTTTTCTTTATTTTCTAACAAACATAGTAAATTATGAGTTTATTCTTCTATCCCATGGAACAAAAAGAAAAAATTACACAATCTCTTTCCTAAAAATGTCTTATCCATTCTTTTTCTTTCCCTTCTATTCAAATTTTTTACCTTTGTTACCAAACAGAACAAAAGTGTCACAAACTTATTATTATTATTATTATTATTATTTTATTTATTTATTTTTGACTTGTGGTAAAAAGGACTTTTAAACATCTTTTCTCGCATATCCTTTCTTTGAAAGTCATTTTTGCAAAATAAAAAAATAAATATTGATGATTTTGAGAATCTAATATGCTCCAAATATTCTCTGTTGAAAAATTCTAAAATATCCTGTACTCAATATAGTTGACTATTTACAAAATCACAGTTGCTGTGAAGTCCAGCAATAGTGGGACTCACCACAGCTGTAAATGACTAGTTAGTTTTGTCGGAAACTCTGCATCAATCACACCTCCTTGTCAAAATAGGTAATTAGATAAACATTAATTCATCAATGACTGAGCTTCATTGGTAATCTAATCACATTAAAAATTATACGTGCAATACAGATGGCTATATTTTAATATGAAAACTTCTATATTTTAATATGAAAAGGAGAATAATTAAGAGCATCTGTTTATATACATCATTGTTTTAACTTAATTGTTAATTAATCACACAAATTGCAATATTTAATAAGAAAGAGGACTTAAAAGATCTATAAAGATTTAGGATTTATGTACTCCATTCACATTCATCAATAATTGCAAACCATCCGTTGACATTAAGTATCCCAATTAAATTATACATTTTTTCCTCCAATATTAATATTTTTGAATAAATCCGGCAAATGTTCGTGAATCAAATTGAAAAAAATGATTGAGGTGAGGGATTGACATCATTGACTCTTCTTAAGTTAGGCGAGGCAAAATTCTTAGAAAGAATATATATATCATACTAAAGGTGAATTGAGTTTGTAAATCCATCTATTTGTAGATTTAAGAGAGTGAGAAATAAATTTCATGCAGGAGATGCATGATCAATACATAAATGTAGCAACCGTTTTTGTCACAAATTACACGCTTGTTAATATGAACAGTATAATAAAGTAATGGTTAGGAAAGCTGTATAAAAAATAAATAAATAAAAAATAAGCATCTTTCTGGAATGAAATGTTCTAATGATATTTAGGTTTCACCAATATTTTTTTTTTTTTGCATGGCAAAAGGTTAGTGATTAAAGGAGAAGGGAGGGTGTAAGGTTCGAACACGAAGAACAACCCAACCACTCGGCATTTGTCCACCATATTCTCTTTCAAACTTTGTTTTGTGAGCCCAATAAAAATTGAATCTCAATACATTTAAATGGCTATTGATCGTGGGTGCTACATAGATAGCAATTCCCGTACTAGTGGCATGCGAAATGGAGCAACCTAAACTGTGAAAATGAAGTTGTTATACGACAATACAACGGTTGTTTTATCATATATATATATATATATATATATATATATATATATATATATATAATTGTTATCAAATATTTTTGTTATCAAGAATTAGAGTTTTTCACGTATTATCAAATATTTTTATTGAATTTTGAAGTCAAATATTTTTCTCTATTAAAATTATATTACTCATGTCATTTAATTCTTTACATTTATTTTATGTTATTATTTGTGTTCATAAAAATATTTATTTACCTACAAAATTTTTGAATGTATTATATGTACATTTTTACTGAGTAATTCAAACCTATGAGATGTAAGTGATGCCTAAACCAACGCAAAAAACAATAATAATAATAATAAATAATTAATAAAAAAACATTATTTCATATTTTGTTGCACAAAGGTTGATTAATTGTGCACCACAATAAAAAATTCTACATTGTTCCTGAGTCAAATTGAAAAGAAATAATTGGGGTGAGGGATTCACTCTTCATAAAATTTCGAGAAACTAAAAATTGTAGAACGAAAATTATAATAAAAGTGAATCGAGTTTGTTAAATTTATCTATTTGTAGACAATTACAATGTGAAAAAGAAATTTCATCAAGGAGATTCATGACCAATGTATGGAGTAACTGTTTTTGTCCCAAATTACATGCTTGTCAATATCAAGAGTATATTAGTGTGAATGCTAGGAAAGCCATCAAACAAGTGAATCTTTTTTAGAGAAAAAAAAAAAAAAAAAAAAAAAAAAAAAAAAAAAAAAAAACCCTTCACACCATACATATTAAGCGCAAATTATATATATATATATATAGATATAGATGGAATATAGTTACACTGGGCTTCAGCTAGAGCTGAAAGTAGCCATTGGGCCAAAAAGAAAATGAATAGAAAACGAAGTACAAACAAGCCCCTTCCAACCCATCTATCAACTAAAACTAATTTTACATGGACTGTTCAAAGTAGCTGAAGTATCTGTGTTGTTCAAATAGTTTTTACCCCAATGGTATAATCTTTACATCTTCAAAGCGAAGAGGAGGGGTTCCGGGGTGGCGTGGACAAAAATGTGTACGAATACTTGAGCACTTATCTAATTGAAAAAAAGAGAGAGTACCAATGTTTGATACACAATAAGCGTGATAGAGATGTGTTCAACACTTTTGGCTGAATATGTATTTAAAAATCATATTCTTATAATTAAAATTAATTATATTATCACTTCAAAGTGAATAAAATATTTATGTTGAACACTATGTTATATAAAAGACATGTTACTCTCAAAAAAATAAAATAGAATATTAAATAACGCTATGCTACAAAAAAAAAAAAAAAAAAAGAGACATTATTCTAAAAAATAAATTAAAATATTAAATAATATAAATATTTTTAAAAAAAATTGTGGAATTAAATTATTTCTGAAATAACTACTCACATTCAATATACATATCAGAGTCTATGTAGAATAAGCACAAAAAAGAGAAAAGGAAAAGATAATCCAGAGTAACGAATCCTAGTGGGTTCGACTTTCGAGGTAATGGGTGTACACTACTAGAACTTTGGCTCATATTACAGCTTGCCACAAAAAGACGGACTTGTTATTAGAAATGCAATTCTAAATACGAATTGACAATTGAGGGCATTCTCAAAATAAATGGTAGAGGAATTTGAGTTTCCAAAGAAGATGTGTGTGTTTCGTTTGTCAATAAAAAATAAAAAATAAAATTACACTAATTGACAGAATTTATCTTCAATTTTATTTATTTTTTAAAATATACCCTTTATTATTGCCATGATTCTAAATTTTATTTTTATTTTTTATTTTTTATTTTTTATTTGTTTTTGGAAGGGCCTTAGGAGAGATAGGATTGTAGATTCAGTTACAATAACAAGAAATTAGCAACATAAATGAACACGCAATAGTCGTCAGTGTAACTAAATGAATTGATGGGGCCAGCTAAAACTGCTTATACATATATATATATATATATATATAGGAGAACAAATGTTTAAGTGACATTTGAAAGCAGAGAAGAAGCCAGAATAGTGTAACAGATGCTGTTCACGCCATGCATGACCCACAAAGTAGCAGTATATATACTCCTTAGCCTCCCCATTGGCAAAATCACTCAAACCTTGAAATCAATCAAGATTAATAATCAAGAACAAGGAGAGATGAAAGGAGTAGTCATTTCAGTGATGGTTGTGCTAGCCATGGTTCAGTTCATGGCGAAGCCAGGAGAGGCCATCAGTTGTGGTCAAGTGGATGCATCTTTGGCCCCATGTGTTCCTTACCTCACCAATGGTGGCACTCCTACAACTGAATGCTGTAATGGAGTGAAAAGCATAAAAGGGACGTCTACAACCCCAGTGGCCAAGCGAACAACATGCAATTGCGTTAAGGATGCTTCTAATCGCTATTCCAACTTAAAGGATGATGCAGCCCAAGCCCTTCCTGCAAAGTGCAATGTTCAAATGGATATCCCCATCTCTCGAAGCACCAACTGTGACGCGTAAGTTTGTTTTTCTTTTTTAGTTTTTAACATTATTGTTTACCTCAAGCAGTAGCTTGTTAATGCTAGTTATTTTTCTCATCTTCACAGCATCAACTAAGGTGGATGGCATCATACAGAATAAAGAAAGTGGGAGGTTTCAGGTGCCAGAGACAAGTTTATTATATCAAACTACATTATGCTGTTAAAATAATGGTTCTGGATGGAGCCTAGCTAGCTTTGTAATGCGGAAAGCTTTATCGAGCCTCTTGAAACTTCTTGTATGTGTACTAAGTGGGATTATCGGCCACGTTAAATTTATAAAATTACTTGAAAGTTAAACTACTTCCCACCATCTTGTCTTTCAACTGTTATCCTACTATCTATTATGACCTATATGGCTAATGAGTAACATTTATGGTCAGAATAAACAGTGTGCAATTCCATTGTATCATGTGAGGTGAGCTTAATGTCACGGGCCTAGAGATTTGGCGCAGCGGCACGGCCCGTGCGGCACCAAGGCGTTGCTTCAGCTCGCGCAAGCGCCCTGGTCAGCCACCACGACCTGCCCTCCCAAGGATACATGCTGACTGGTTTCGGCCTGCCATGGCCTCGTCAGGGGAACGACTCCAGCTCCCGACCAGTTTGTGCAGGGATGGCCAACTCCCTTCTTCATAGTCAAGTCCACGACCAGCGACAAGCACCTCGAACTGAACCGAGTCGACCTGCCTGAACTCTGAAGAGGTACCATCCTGTGCTCCTGCACGCCCCTTCCCTGGAACCATTCCCAGTCAAACTCTGCTCTTTGCCAACCAGCATGCGTGTCTTCCATCCTCCAAGCGTCTTAGAAATCACTTCGTGACATTCTCCCCCACCCAAATCCTGCGACGTCCTCGTCGCAGTGCGGCGCTTCACTACTGCGTCCACTCCCTTCCAAAGTCTGCCTCCATGCGGTATGCTCGCCTTCCCACCATCGCTTCCTTGTGCAGCTCCTTGCACTGCACTCGCCCAATGATAGGCCTCGGACCAAGGGGACGTCCACTCCTCAAGGACGTGACTCTTCTCCGTCATGCCGCCTCCGCGACATCCCGAGCAAGCAATGGCCTCCTGCCGACTTGATGCTCGTCCTTCACCATGGTTTGCATCACCCAAGGACTAAGCACGAACTTTGGTGCGCGCGGCCCTCCGGCCCTTCAATGCGCAACTTCAACGGACGCCTCTTCCTGGGGAGATGGAGGCTCTCCCCCCCAACTGCATTGATTCCTCCTTATCGACGCAACTTCAATGCACCGTCTTCATTTTCTGACCCCTCCCGGACCGACAAGGGGGCACCCCACCGTGCTTTACCCCAAGTCCTGCTCTGATACCATTTGTCACGGGCCTAGAGATTTGGCGCAGCGGCACAGCCCGTGCGGCACCAAGGCGTTGCTTCAGCTCGCGCAAGCGCCCTGGTCAGCCACCACGACCTGCCCTCCCAAGGATACATGCTGACTGGTTTCGGCCTGCCATGGTCTCGTCAGGGGAATGGCTCCAGCTCCCGACCAGTTTGTGCAGGGATGGCCAACTCCCTTCTTCATAGTCAAGTCCACGACCAGTGACAAGCACCTCGAACTGAACCGAGTCGACCTGCCTGAACTCTGAAGAGGTACCATCCTGTGCTCCTGCACGCCCCTTCCCTGGAACCATTCCCAGTCAAACTCTGCTCTTTGCCAACCAGCATGCGTGTCTTCCATCCTCCAAGCGTCTTAGGAATCACTTCGTGACATTAAGCTAGCAAGTTTCGCGTTTAGTTAGACTGCTTCAAAGACATGTTCTTATTCTTGGCATGCCCATTCTGTGCTTCTCAAACCGATTGAGCCATATTGGCCAAATTCATTTGTTGTTTACGTATTATATTTCTGGCCTTAAGCAAGTTCTAAGAGCTCGATTTAATTATTTTAGTGCTACTGTATCACTTCAATGCTTCAACGACACCCATGCCAATTCATTTATCTTCATTTGCCTATTGCTGGTTTCTTAAATATTCTTGTTTACATAGATGACATTATAATTACAGATAAAGAAAGTATAGGCATCACAAACCTTATTCAGTGAATTATGTGCTGAATCTGGTATGAAAACTTTGGTCAAATTCATCATTTTATGTGCATGAGAATGTATGAAACTGATCTATTGGCACATGACAGTATGATGGGAGCTAAAACTGTTTTGACTCCATTCAGAACCACATTTGCGATTTGTTTACAAGTTGTTAAACAAGTACTCAGTTCTCAATGTCACACTTAGCTTTGGCCTCCATTTTCATCTTTGCTCTTGTATTTTCGTTAACTCTGGTACCAATTAGGCTGGACAAAAAGATGATCGATGATATACCTTTTTTTCCCTTTCTTTTCTCTCCGCTGGTCTCAAAACTTTGACCTAGGATTTAGGATTTAAGACCCAAAGCCAGTAGAACAAAGGTAGACCAGTATCGATTATGTACCTTACCACCTACTCAGATAAATTCCTTTGTCTACTTTGATACAAACATTACCTTCTACTCTGGTGCCAATATTGTTTCTATATGTCTAGTGCGGAAGCTGAATAACGTGCTCTTGCTGTCATTACTGATGATATATAATGGTTGCAAGCACCCCTTCTCTTGAGTGTCTGCCTTATGGCTTACCTTTTATTTGCTACTTAATATCCGCACTTGTTGTTTTTGTAGATCCAATTTAACACATTGAAGTTGCCTATCACTTTGTGCTTGAAGGTCCTGCCTGTGGGCCTCTTCAAGTTCCATATGTTTCAAATCACTCTTAACTGAATGATAGCTTTTTGAAAAGCTTGTCTTCCCATAATTTCCAGTGGCTGGAGGAAAAGGCTCCATCTCCATCCTCTGCTGAGTTCAAGGAATGCAATCTGTAGAATCAGCTCTTCATTGCATATGGCTAAGTTTCTGTTATAATATTATTGCATCCAAATCTTGTAATTGATGTAACCGGCATACGTGCCATAAGGGATCATCCGAGATATTACATCTGTGATCATGTAAAAATGTTTACTTTATAAATCCAAAAGCCTAGGAAATGTGCTGAATGCCTACAACTTTTTCCCTATATTCCTCCTATGTTTTCTTTATTTACACTATTAAATTAAGTTCTACTTAAGAGTGTGTTTACATGTCATACTTTACTGTGGTTTGAGATTTAATTATTATCAATCAGATTGAGATTTAATTTGGCAGCCATATTCTGGCTAAATCTGCACCCAATCTGACATTCTAACAATCCTGAAAGTCGGCAAAGTTGATGTTATCAATTGTTCATGAACTATGAGACGCGAACTTATGTTCTAAGTTGGTCATCTGGCTAATGCAACTTGTAATATCTATGGGCTTAAAATTTTATTATGCCTGGATAATTAGAAAGGAAGAGTAAGGAAATGATTTAATCTGCTGTGAAAAAAAAAAATATATATATATATATATATAAAGAAGAAGAAGAAGAAGAAGGAAAGGGAAGTATATATGGAAATAACCTTGCCTCTTGTTGGATGATTAGAGTGAAAAAAGAAAAGAAGTGATATGATAATCCCCTCTCTTGTTCAGGAAAGAATGATGAGAAAATAAATGGAAATAAATTTATGTGAGTAGAAATGTAAAGAAGAAATTTACTTAAGATAAATATAGAGACAGAAAAGATAAATCATTAACTTTAATATCCTTTCATTCAATTTCCTCTCACTTTGGAAATTTCTGAGGAATAAGCCTCTTCACTCCCTCCCTCTTCCTCTTGACTTTCTAATCAGTAATCAATGCGTAAGTTTCCCTTCATTTCCCTTTTTTTCTTTCCCACCAAACACCTGAATCCAAGCATACTTCTTAGTGATAGATTGTTAATAATTCATTCTTTCTAATTTAGATTTAAGGGTTGGATTCTTAGATAAAGATAAAAAAATATATATATAAAAAAAAAAAAAAAAAAAAAAAAAAGAAAAGAAAGAATGGATGGCATATTCTTTGCAAGGCCTTGTATATGAGAAATTATTAGATGGTCCGGGACCACGTGGTTCAGACCAATCACAAACGGAATTATCAAATAGTATTAGTTATTAGATTTGAATTCCAGTTTAGGCTTTGACAGGTACTTAGCCTAATTAAAAGAATTCAAATTCAGTTTCTAAATCAGAACCAAGCTTAATCCAAAGGACAATGTGCACCACTGGTGGAGCACTTTAGGGTATTTGAGTCGGTGGGTTTTGGAACCAGGATCTTATAGGTCCCATCTAGGCAATGAAAAATTCAGGAAAAACCATCTAAGCAGGAGTTAGTTTTTATCACGAACTCTTTGTTTGACACAATTTAGTAAGTTCTGAACATCAGAAAACAATGTTGATTGTGGTTAAAATTATTATACCATTCATCCACTAGTAGTCAATGAAACTTTAAACCATTACCGGAATGCTGCTATCTGTCTTCATTCTGTTTAATTACTTGTTCTGTGATTGGAATGAATTCGATCAACTGATGTGATGTTTTCCGAGAGCAAGATGGATAGGACTGGATTCAGTTGTGCCACTGGGAACTCAACAGAAAGGAAGCGCCAAATCGTCACCAAACTAGCAGAAACCCAGCCAACACTTACAAGAAGAGAGATGGTTCAAAATGCTTATTGTTATGGACACACTGGCGGATCCAGCGTAGGGCTGGGCTGGGCTCCAGCCCACCCCAAAATTTTTTTTTTTATTTTTTATTTATTACTATGGGTATTTTTAGCCCAGCCCAAAAAAAAAATTTATTATGCCCACCCAAATAAGCCCAACTCAACTAAGCCACAATACTAAAATAAAGGCCCAAACCTAACAAGCCCTATTAATGATGAGTATTAAGATATGAAGTAAAACATATTTTGAGATAAAATTGTTGTTGAGGAAGTTCTGAAATTATATATATATAGAATAAATTCATAATTTCAACACCTTCAAATCATCATGAAAAATAAACAGAGCTTCTGTGTTTATTTAGAAAGTTTTTAACAAACACACAAAAATATCTATGGCATTATAAATTACAAAAATTTGATGATTTTGAACTCTAGTAGACAAAGAGTATTAGTATAAAAGAAAACATCTAATTCACAAATCAAATGTTACTAACTTACTACAGATTTAAATAAAACAAATATAGATAGGTAAGTGTTAGAATTTCAAATTGATTTATAAAATAAAACCACAAACAAAAATTACAATAATTCAATCTTTAAAATCAAAAAAATCAAGTATGAAACGTGTTAAAACATAACACGATGGGAGATGAATTTCTTGCTGATTGCATAATCGTACAGGACCTTGTTTGAAAATTTTACTTGGAGTCTATTATCGACGAATTTGAGTCTTTAAAAACTCGTCGAGCACAACTTAGATAAATATTTTGTAATATTTGAATTCAAATATTTATCTAGATTATGTTATAAAAAAATTTACTTAAGAAATTGTGTTATTAAATTTATGTTTAATTTTAGCCCACTCTACTTACAATTCCTGGATCCGCCCTTGTAATGGACATCTAAAAGCAAAGAAGCAGACAAAATAATGTAGCAGCTACCATTTATGTCATGACCTACGTATGCCTTCATCAACAATCTCCGAAGTACTATATATACCTGTCCAATCACCCCTCAAACCCATCAAGAGAAGTTCATAGAAATACAAGCCCAAATTCTAAAACAAAGTGTCTCTTTTAAGGAAAGATGAAAGGAGTAGTCATTTCAGTGATGGTTGTGCTAGCTATGGTTCACTGCATGGTGAATCCAGGAGAGGCCATCTCTTGTGGTCAAGTGGATCTTTGGCCCCATGTGTTCCTTACCTCACTAATGGTGGCAGTCCTACAACTGACTGCTGTAATGGAGTCAAAAGCATAAAAGGGATGGCTACAACCCCAATGGCCAAGAGAACAACATGCAATTGCGTTAAAGATGCTACTAATCGCTATTCCAACTTGTAGGACGATGCAGCCCAAGCCCTCCCTGCAAAGTGCAATGTTCAAATGGATATCCCCATCTCTCGAAGCACCAACTGTGACGCGTAAGGTTTTTTTTTTTTTTTCATATGTGTTTGTGATGCTTTTTTAACATTGTTGTTTATCTTAAGTAGGTGGGTAGGTTGTCCATGCTAATTCTGTTTTTTCTTTCTTTTTTTTTTTTTCCTTTTTTTTTTTTTTTTTTCACAGCATCAATTAAGGTGGAAGGCATCACACAAGAAATAAAGAAATTGGGAGGTTTTAGGTGTCAGAGTCAAGTTTACTATATCAAACTACATTATATTGTTAAAATAGTAGTTTTGTTGATGGAGCCTAGCTTTGTAATACATAAAGCTTTATCGAGCTTTTCGAAACTTGTTATATGTATACTAAGTGAGATTATTGGGTTAAATTTATAAAATTACTCGAAAGTTAAACTACTTCCCACCATTTTGTCTTTCAACTGTGATCTATCTATTATGACCTACATGGCTAATGAATAACATATTTGGTTAGAATAAACAGTGTGCAATTCCATTATATTATGTGAGCTTAAGCAATCAAAAGTAACTTGGTAAAATTGGCGTACTCAATTTGATAGCCTGACTATCATTATATACAAGAGGAAAATTACAAATATGGAAAGAGAATAAAATCAAATCAGAATAAAGAGAATAAAATCAAATCAGAATAAAAATAAAATCCCTAAATATTATCCTATATTGAAGACTCAATAAATCTGTCACAATCATTGAATCAACTTATGGATATGATTTCCAACACTCCCCCTTAAGCTGGAGCAAATATGTTGACCAAGCCCAGCTTGATTATGGAAGACTGGAGAAGAGAAGGCCCAACAGATTTTGTGAACACATCTGTAGTCTGTTCTGAAGAGGGAACAAAAATAGGATTAATGATAACTGATCGAACCTTCTCTCGAATAAAGTGAATGTCTACCTCAATATGTTTTGACCTTTCATGTAAAACAGAATCGGAAGCAAGCATAATGGTTGATTTATTGTCACAAAACAGCCTTGAAGAACCTTTCTCTGCAAGACCCAACTCTCCCAAAATTGATTGAAGCCAAAGGAGCTCACAAGCACCTTGAGCCATAGCTCCGTATTCAGCTTCAGCAGAGGATCTAGATACAACAGCTTGCTTCTTACTCTTCCATGATATGAGATGATTACCATAGAAAGTACAGAAGCCAGAGGTAGAACGTCTATCTGTCTTACATCCAGCATAGTCTGCATCAGTAAAGCATGAGAATCCAGACTGATTTCCTGCGGCGTAGAACAGACCAAGACCAGGGCACGACTTAAGATACCTCAAAATATGGTAGACTGCATCCATATGGGTTGAGCGAGGGGCATGCATGAATTGACTAACCACACTAACAGCAAATGTCAAATCGGGCCTTGTGTTAGTCAAGTAGATAAGACGACCTACTAAACGTTGATACACGGATGGATCTGAAAGTAATTCCCCTGACTCAACAGAGAGTTTGGGATTGGGGTCCATAGGAGTGGAAGCGGGTCGACACCCAAGCATGCCAGTATCTTGAAGAAGATCCAAAACATATTTCCTTTAAGATAAAGAAATTCCACGACGGGATCTAGCAACCTCAATTCCAAGAAAATATCGAAGAAGACCTAAGTTTTTCACATCAAAGAACTTTTGAAGATGAAGTTTCGCCTGAGCAATCCCTAAAGCATCATCACCTGTGATAATGATATCATCCACATATACCAATAACATAATGCAACTACCATTAGAGCGACATCGAATAAAGCAAATATGGTCTGAGTGGCAGCGCACAAAGCCCATGGATAGAACAACATCGCTGAAACGACTAAACCAAGCTCTAGGAGATTGTTTCAGACCATAAAGAGACTTCCGCAGCCTACAAAATTTCCCAGCATACTCCCCCTCAGCCCAAAATCCAGGAGGTGGATCCATATATATAGTCTCAAGTAAGTCTCCATTAAGAAATACATTCTTAACATCTAACTGATGCAGAGGCTAAGAATGGGTATCAGACAAGGAGATAAGCAATCGTATAGACGTCAACTTTGCCACAGGAGCAAAGGTAGCACTAAAGTCTTTGCTCGGAATCTGAGTAAAGCCTTTTGCCACCAACCAAGCCTTATACCGATCAATAGAACCATCGGCTAAGTACTTCACATTAAAGACCCATTTGCAGCTAACCGTTTTCTCCCTAGTAGGTAAAGTAACAAGTTCATATCTATTATTATGTTGTAAAACATCCATTTCTGTTGTCATGGCAGACACCCAATTGGGATCTTGGAGGGCCTCTGACACGGATCGAGGAATAGAAACAGTCCCAATCTTGCTCAGGAATGATTTATATGCACCTGAAAGACCGTCATAGGAGACATACTGGAAAAACCATTCCAATTAGGAGGGTGATGATTACGGGTAGGATAACGGGAGGTATGCTCAGGAATGGTAGGAGTCATAGGAGAAGGAGAGTTACCTGGACCTGGTTTTGAAGATGATTCTGGCAGGGGAGGTTGAGTGCGATGGCGACGAGAGTAGACCTGCAAAGGTGGAGGGGAACCCTGCATGGATGGAGAAGGAGATTCCAGGACAGTATAATTTTCAAAAAGAGGAACAGGACTGGCAATAGGAGAAATCTCCTTCTCCAAATCAAAAGAGAGAGAATCCTGTACCACAGAATTAGTACTATAAAAAGGAACAGTTTCATGAAATGTCACATCAAGAGAATGATACATATGTTTGGTCATAGGATCATAACAACGATAGCCCTTTGACATAGCAGAATACCCCAAGAAAATACACCTAATAGATTTATCATCAAGTTTATGACGAGAAGGACTACGGTTATGAATAAAACAAGTACAACCGAAAACACGAGGTAGAAGGTGAAACAATGTATAATCAGGCTGGAGAATCTGAAATGGGGCCTTACCACCCAAAACTCGACTGAGAGTACAATTAATCAGAAAAGCAGCTGTAAGAACAGCCATGTGCCAATAGAATTTAGGCACATGCATACTACTCAGAAGACATCGGACCACAGACATAAGATGACGATTTTTACGTTCAGCCAAGCCATTTTGCTCAGGAGTGTAGGGGCAAGTGAGTTGATGTAAAATCCCCTTTTTATTAAGTTCAGTCCAGAACTCATTCGAAACATATTCTCGTCCATTATCAGAAAAAATATTACGGACAACAGTGTTATACTGGGTTTTGATCATTTGAAGAAACTGGGTAAATAAAATAAACACATCAGATTTCTTTTTCAATAAATAAACCCAAGTAAAACGAGAATAATCATCAATAAATGTCACATAATATCGATGTCCAGAGAAAGCAGTAATTGGGGAAGGGCCCCAGACATCAAAATGAATAAGATCAAACATACTAGGAGCACGACTCATATGAGAAATATAGCTAGCTCTAGTATGTTTAGAAAGCTCACAAACTTCACATTGAAACTTACGGTCCTTACATGGTTTATTTAAAGAAGGAAACAATAGACATAGGTACTGAAAGTTTATCTGCCCCAAACGTGCATGCCACAGACTAAAAGTGCAAAAAGAAACATCATAAACACTAGAAGTAGGTAGGACAGAAGCTTGAAGACTCGTTCCTGGTGGTTCCCCAAAGTAGTAAAGCCCATCACGCTCATAACCCCTGCCAAAAATCCTCTTCGAACAAAGGTCCTGCAACAAACAGTGATCTGGTAAGAATATAACTACATATTGGAGGTTTTTTACAAGTCGGCTAATAGATAAAAGGTTAAAGGCAAGTTTAGGTACATGAAGGATAGATGAAAGAGTAATATTAGGAGATAGACAAACATCACCCTTACTGTGAATGTAAGATGTAGAGCCATCTGCAAGATAAACAGATTGGGTAACAGTTATGACATTAGAAGAAAAAACTAATAACTCACCAGTCATGTGATCATTAGCCCTAGAATCCATAACCCAAGTGGGTTGCTTGGCCTTAACATGAAATGCAGTAGGAGTACCTGTAGCAATAGTGGCAGTGGGAGCAGCTGAAGGAGCTCCAACTCTAGAAGCAAGGGAGCCAGGTCCTGGATCTGCCCAATCTAAGACTGAAGCTGGCTCAGTCCAGGAAATACAGTAGATCCACCAATAGTAATAGGAGTTTCTGCAACAGCCGCAGTACGAGAAGAACCAGTTCCAGATAAACGGTTCCTAGAAAATTTTTGCTTCAGTTCAGGATAAAGTTTGAAGCAATGAGCCTTAACATGTCCAACCCCTCCACAATGGTGACAAATAATCTGACCTCCAGAAGCTCGTGATCCAAAGTTGGCTGTAAAAGCCATATTATCCTTAGAAGGTTCAGACACCGGTAGAGGAATAAGCGAGGGCTGAATTAAACAGTGCCTACGTGCTTCACCATCAACAGTAGCAAAGGCTGCCAACAGGGATGGCATTGGTGATGCATTCAAGATCTGAGACTTTAGTGGTTCAAATTCTGGGCGTAATCCCATAAAAAACTGATAGGTATGCTGACGATCAAGACGTTTGACAAGAAGAGAGGCTGCCTCGGAAGGAAATTCACTGAGAGGCTCATATTGAGCTAGTTCCTCCCAGCGAGATCTCAAATACCCAAAATAATCAGCTACAAACAAATTCAGGCCTTCCTGCGAGGCCTTAGCAATATCTTGGTATAATTCAAAAATACGAGCATCATTTCTAGAATGAGCATACATTTGATTCAAAGCAGTCCACAAGTCATTAACAGGGTCATAAAACATGAATATATTAAAAATGCGTTCCTCCATAGAATTAAACATCCATTCTAAAATGGTGCAATTGTCCATAGCCCACTAAGTATATTTAGGATCTTTAATATCTGGCATCTTTTCAGTACCAAAATCCACCCTGATTTGCCTTTTTCACCAACATAGAGGCAGAGGGAACGAGCCCATGATGCAAAATTACGGCCATTCAACAACACACTAG